TTTGTTTCTTTTTGTTATTAATAAAATAATTAAAAATATTTTTATTGATTTCAGAGAGGAAGGGAGAGGGAGAGAGAAACATCAATGATGAGAAAGAATCATTCATTGGCTGCCTCCTGCACACCCCACTGGGGATTGAGCCCACCACCCAGGCATATGCTCTGACCAGGAATCAAACCATGACCTCTTGGTTCATAGGTCGATGCTCAACCACAGAGTCATACCAGCTGGGCATTAATAAAATAATTGGTAATAAAAAATAATTGTTTCCAGTCAATAATCCTAAAAAAGTTTCATTCTCATATAGATGAGTAAGTATTTGTGGAAGTTCCTGTTATGTAGTGAATATTGAATTAAATGCTGTGGGGAAGGAAAAAAGACTGGAGGCTTCTTGAGCTTGTCAGCATGTCGTAATATTTCTGTATCAGCCTCTTTGCTGCATGTCTTACTAGAATAAATAGCAGGAAAGGTTTGTGAGTAGCTCAATATTAAGTATAGCAGAATTTATTTAACGTTTCTATCAACAAATCAAATTGTTTTTAATACTAAAACTCATGAACATATGAGTTTAATGTGTGCTCATGATATCTCCTTTTAGATATCCTATAGCTGTGGTTGGCAAACTGCGGCTCGTGAGCCACATGCGACTCTTTGGCCCCTTCAGTGTGGCTCTTCCACAAAATACCACGTGCGGGTGCGCATGTACAGTGCGATTGAAACTTCGTGGCCCATGCGCAGAATTTGGTATTTTGTGGAAGAGCTGGTATTTTGTGGAAGAGCCACACTCAAGGGGCCAAAGAGCCGCATGTGACTCGCAAGCCGCGGTTTGCCGAACCGCAGTTTGCCTTTTCTTACGTTTTGCATTTGAAAATAAATTTAGAGCCAGTGATATTTTAAAACTTCTCATTAATAAATGGAATCATTTCCCCAAATAGGCTTTGTAAGTCTATTGTTTCGAATAATTCTTATTCCTTGCAATTGGAATTGGGGAGAAATATTATAGGAGAAATATTTCTGGGCCTGTGCTATTTGTTTTATATTTTTGTTACTAAATATTTGGTTTCTTTTGTAGGTATAGGTTTAGACATTATTTAGCTTTAAGTACTGGTACACTTAGTTTGTAACTTTTTTTTCATGAGTTCCTCCTGAAGTGAGCACCCATTATCCAGTGCTCTCTACACATCCACAAGTTGTCCCAGATACCCCGTAGCTGACCTATCAATTCACTTTGTCATTTGTTTAGGTTTCCTTGGCCATCATTGATTCCTTTTGCAGCATCTTTATACTTTGTTGTTTCATTTATCCTCAATATTGTATTGAGGACCAGAGCATTAAGCCTTTGCGGTCGTTTGTCTACTCTCAGCCACCAAAGCTTTTTTACCGTTCCGGTCGTATGTCTGCTCTCAGCCACCACAGCAAGGAACCGTACGAATCTTAACTCTATTCATTCATGTATCAGTTCATAATTTCTCTGAAAGCTCTTAAGTGTCTAAGCGACCTTGTCACGAACCAAAACATTGCCCCGACAAATCGGAGATATCGAAACTCAATATAAACAAACGCGGTCGTTCCACACTCGCCATGCAAAACACCGTGGCGAGTCAGTCGCCTTTTGAGAGTGAAGAAATCGACAAGCTTCGGAGATACTTCGCAGAATTTCAAATAAAGCTTTACAAATTACGTTTAACTGTAATTAGGCATTCTCGCTTGTTAAGATATTTCAAAATAATACTCCAAAATGGCAAAAAGAAAGTTACCGAAAGAAGTGTACTGCGAATCTGAAAGTAACGATGAAGAGTTTTATTTTGGCACCTTGAATACTGACTCTGACGTAGAAAGTGATAACGTTTGTAGTGACTCTACTAGTAGTGACGTAGTTCCAAAAAAGAATTAATAAATCTTGTTTATCCTTCATAATCTTGCATGTTATGTATCACTGCTCTTTCAATGGAAATTAATTTCGACCAGTACGACACCCATGTCCAAATTTAATATGACCGCAAAGGGTTAATGTAAGGGGCTTGTAGGCTGTGTCCAAACACAGTGGGTCTATAATCTCTTTTGCCCTTTGTTAGGTCCTTCAGGATATTGCCTAGGATTTTCCCCAACACACTTCATGACTTAAGTTCAGATGTCCCTCTATGTCTTATGAAGGCTGACAGACACATAGTTTATGGAAATCAGCACTACTCAGATTAAAATTCCATCTGAAAAACATTCTAAGTTTATGTCTCAAGATAGCTTAACAGTACTCTAAAAAATAGGCCTTATACTCAAGATGGTTTTCTTATATAAAGACATTGAACATTAAAAATTATAAATCCCAATTTTCCAACTCCCCTGGAGACATCTGATGCTCCCATTCAGCACAAAACAAAAATTGAAAATAGTGGAAAGTCATAACTTTACAGGCTGTCTCAGTATAAATCCTATTTCATGGTATTTTTTATTGAATATTCATTGGTCCTGAGCCTGTAAGTTTTTTGGAAGAGGAATGTTGATAGATTCATGTTACTGGAGTATTTTTTATGATTACTTCCTTAATGAGAGTTAGGCTCTCATTTGCTATGTTGAGTTTTTCTTCAACCCTATGCAGCTGTCCTCTCATTGAAAGAGGTTTTTAATAAATATTTACTTAAAATTCTCAAATCATAAATCCCATTCCTATTGCTCTTTCTCTCAGATTGTGAATGATGCCTGTTTCACAGACAAAATAACAGCAGATTCTAATATGCCTTATATAATGTAGGAGAAATGATGGATATTATGTCTTTTACTTAGTCTTTTCTTATTCTCTTTCATTCACTTTATGAAGTTGATATTTCCATTTTATAGATTAAAACAAAATGAAAAAGAAGCTCACAGAAGCTAAGTGACTGCTACAGGGTAACAGAATGAATAGTTAGAGTTTGCTTTTTTATTTTAATTGCTCTCCTGTAATACAGGATGACTCCTACTGATCCCCCACAGTGACTATGCTGTATTGTTTATTTTAAAGTTGCTAAGAGAATAAATCTTTTAAAAAATACATTTTTATTGATTTCAGAGAGGAAGGAAGAGGGAGAAAGAGATAGAAACGTCAATGATGAGAGAGAATCATTGATTGGCTGTCTTCTGCACGCCGCCCCCCCCCGCCCCCCCCTCCGCGCCGGGGATCTAACCCGTAACCTGGACATATGCCCTGACTGGGAATCGAGCCGAGACCTCTTGGTTCATAGGTGACACTCAACCACTTAGCCACACCAGCTGGGCTAATTTTTTATTTTAATCAATGTCAAGTTATAAGCTCAACAAGCTAAGTTATTACATGTATGTATAACTGGGTTTGTTGGACTCTGCATGATCTATTACAAACTTTTCTTTTAAAACTCCCTGAATTTCTTTCTTATAGCTCTAAGAGTAGAAGCTGCAGTCTGTTTTGGGGGTAAATTCACTCTTTACTTTGGGAAGGACCATGTTGAGGAGTGCTTTGCGTTAGGTATTCATTCTTTTTTATTGGGAGAAGTACTGATTTTCATGGAAGAAGGAAATGAAGAGACACTATCAATCTTGTATCAGAACAGAAGCTAAAGAGGAAAATGGACTTAAGGGGAACCCTGTGAATGGGGATGGCTAAAAGATATCAAGAACAGTAATATTTAATATTGGTTTATTTTTCTTACTGATAATAACGCCTCTATCTTATTTTCAAGCCTAAGTAAAGTTATTACACAGAGTGGCATTTTAGAATGTGGATATGTAGGAGACTTAATGTCTCTTCTTTGTGGATAAAAGGTACTGTTGAGAGCTTATGCAACACAGAGCATACAAGATTACCAGAGAGGGAAAATTTAGAACAGTAGTGTGGCGTAAAAAAAACATACCCATGCACACCAAAAACTAGGAAAATGTAAACACTTTTCAGAAATTATTAGGGAGATGGCTGGAATACCTGCAGTTTAGAAATTAGATTATTTAGTTCTTAAAGGAAGGCTAGAGAACTTGAGACCATCTAGGTAATATATCCTCATGTTTTTAGTTTTTGCCTCAAATGTGAGAGGGATGAGGGGGCGCAAAGGAATGCTTTAGTTAGGGCTATATGATTGACTATAATTGATGAAAATTCATCTCAAAACTAGTGTTTTATTGACTTATATAACTAAAAAGAATAATTGTGAATCTGACTTTAGACACAGCTGGATCAAGGAGCTAAAATAACAGGCTCAGACACACCCTCCCTCCATCACTCAATACCCCTTTGCCTCTCGGGCTCTCCACACATGTTGGTAAAGATTGACTCCACATTTACAGTTGACCAGTTTAGCAACCATAGTAGAAAGAATGCTTCTCATCTCATTCTGAGAGACAGCATTCTTGGGTTGAGTTTAATTAGCCTGGCAGGACTCACTTCCTATGCTAAATGAATCACTGACTAGAGGGATTTGCTTATTTAATTGCTTAAGCTTTGGTTCCACGATTTTCACTATTTCCAGTGGGTAGGGTCATCCCCATCTAGTACCACATGTACCTAAAGAGACTGTTTAATTGTCAAAAGGAAAAAAAAATGCAATCTTACCACAAGAGGGGATGCTGGAAAATAAAACAATAGATGTTCAATCACAGTGACTGGAAAAGGAGACAGGAAAACAGAAGGGAGAGAAAGGAAGGAGATGGAAGAGAGGAAAGGACAAGAGGGAGGAGAAAATGGAGAAAAGAAAAGAAGGGGAGAGAGAAAGGAGAAAGGAGATCACAGAGAACAGAGAGAAGAGAGATTCATCTTGAGGAAAACCACGTGCCCTTATGGGACCCTGGGCAGAACTATATACAGTTAGAAATCTCAGACAAGACACTATTCCAAAGGTTTTACATGAGCATTCTGTCTTGAAAATAATATGAGACCCATATTTGACTTTACAAGCAGATAAGTTCCCTTGACTTCATCTGTGAATACAAAAGATTTGATCTGGTCCCACTTCATAAGACAGTCCAATGATTTCATTGGATGCTTTTGAGTTCGTTGACTAGGGCATCGTGTACATAAAAAGGGCTGAACCATAGAATAAAATGACTACAGTCAGGTGGGATGAGCAGGTAGAAAAGGATTTTTTTTCTTCCTTCAGCAGAATTAATTCTCAGTATGGAAGAGAGGATTAAAACATAGGAGATGAAAATTAACAGTAGAGGAATCATCAATACAATGCTTGCCACTGTCATAATAAGCACATTCATGGAGATATCTGAACATATGAGTTTAAGAAGAGCCAGAATCTCACAAGTAAGATGGTTAATGATGTTATTCCTATAGAAAGGCAATGCCATTGTTAGGACTGTTTTCACTAAGGAGTATAGACAGCCTATGATCCAAGACCATGCAGCCATGTGCACAAACAGCACCCTGTTCATGATGATGGGGTACCTCAGTGGGTTACAGATGGCCACATGCTGGTCATAGGCCATCACACCCAGGAGGACACACTCAATGGAGCCCAAACCAAGAGAGACAACCATCTGCAGAGCACTGCCACTGGAGGAGCTGGATTTTCTCTTAGCCCTAAATATGATGAGCATTGGGGAGATGAATGATGATGTATAACAGATGTACAAGAATGAGAGGTTTCCAAGGAGGAAATACATGGGGGTGGGAAGGTGAGAATCTAGGATACTGATGATAATGAGGAGGCTGTTTCCCAGGAGGATTGCCATAAATATGATGAGGCAGAGCACAAACAGAAAAAGTTGAAGCTCCAGGTATTGAGAAAGTCCTATCAGAAAGAATTGGTTATGGCTGAGTAATTCCCCATCTCTTTGTGTCCATGCCACCTTCAAGGTTTAGAAAAGCACAAGACTCAGGGAATTTTGATCTTTTAAAATGTAGATGTATCAAATGACTTTCACTTCTATTATTTTGTTTTATTCTTAGAACAGATCCTGTTCAAATTGATACATTTTTAATCTTATTTCTATGGCATTTCCATCTTTGAGTGAGGAAGAAATTAGATTGTTAGTTTGCTCTTTTCAGAACTGGGATATATCACTTTTTTATTGAATGGTTAATTAGATTAAAAAGTTAATAAGAAAGAAACAGCCCTCTTACTGAGACCTATCTTTGAACTGAGTTACATTAGATTGTCCTGTGTTATTTTTCCCATGCCTCCATCTCTTTCTATTAACCACATAATCACATTAATTGTTGTGTTGTTGTTTTTCTTAATTTAAATCAAACCTCTGATCCTTTCATTCCTTGGCTTTGGGATATCCCATTTAAATTCCAATTAACTACTTACAATTTGATGTCCCTGTTCTGTTCTTTATATCATGGATTAATTGGTAGTTACTTGTTTGCCTTTGACTATCCCTACAATCTGTCATGTTATGTCTTTCTAGATTCTTTCCTGCCAGATACAAAGTCCTCCTGTTAGAGAAACATGCTAAAAGCAAGTGAGAGAATGATCATGAGTCTGTGAGAGAGACTCTTATGATGAAATGAGTGAATATACTGATCATAATGTAGTTGTACTATAGTGAATATTTACCGTTTTGATAAACTTTAGCCTGAGGATCTAGATCAGCGGTTCTCAACCTGTGGGTCGCGACCCCTTTGGCAGTCGAACGACCCTTTCATAGGGGTCGCCTAAGACCATCCTGCATATCAGATATTTACATTACGATTCATAACAGTAGCAACATTACAGTTATGAAGTAGCAATGAAAATAATTTTATGGTTGGGTCACAACATGAGGAACTGTATTTAAAGAGCCGGAAGATTGAGAACCAATGATAGATGATTGAAGTTCTGTGTTCATTCAACAAAAATGTATGAAACATTGCCCTTATCTAACTTCAAGGTGATGAAACTAATTTTTCTAGGCTTATTATGAAATTAAAATTTTGTTCACAATTTAGATAAAATATAGCCATATTTGAGTAAATTATTTTAGGGGACAGAAGAGGTTGGAGCCAAATTAAATGTCTGGTCCTTAATTATGTGGTTAATTTGTCTTTAGACAGACTGAAATGGACAGATATACCAGCTTCTTGGTAAAGGAACAAGAAGTTGGCATGTGAATACCATATCAATAAGAGATACAGAGGGAGCAGGGAGTTAGGGAACCAGAGAAGTGTGTGCCAGCCGCTCCAGGGGAAAGCGTGGATTGATGCATGGCCCAGCAAGAGGGAGAGCAATGTGAAGGCAGAAGCCAGGGCAAGCTCTGTTTGAAGTATAGTCAGGCAGTAGGGGAGCTGATCCCAGATATTAAGACCCTAGACATTGGCTTGCCATTCTTGTAATGGCTGTAGTACCTGGCAGAGGACTAAAGTGATTCATGGGGATCTAGGGAAGAAGCAGACAGTTTCCGGAACAAGGCGGTCTCAGTTAGTAAACACTGAATGAATGAAATCAGAAGGGAGAGATGATAGACTAGGGCTTGGAAATGTTGAAGCACAGTAATTAATCATGAGTCTCAATAAGTTCATCCTAATTGTTTCTTTATGCCATATTTGTCCTGGAAAGGGGTGGAGGGTTAAAGCTATAGTCATATTTTTATGGTGTGTAGGTACATTTGAGACAACAGAATATAATTCAGTACCTACCAGAGTGGCTTAGAGAAATACACTAAATATTTTCTCCTCTTTCTCATTTAAAAATTCTAAAAATAGTACTGTCTCACAGTACTGCCTGGATACTTTCGTTCTAGGAAAGGCCAGAACTGGCAATGATGACAGGTGGGCAACCCAGGCTTGGACTGGATTTCATGTGAGTCCAGTCACAGGAAGTAAGGTTTGCCAGGTTAACAAATAAAAATAGATGACGCCCAGTTAAATTTGAATTATTTCTAATTGCCTTTGCATATGCACACTGGGATAAAAGAAAAGTACTGCATAGGAAATTCTTGTACTAAAAATTACTTGCTGTTTATCGGAAATAAATTACAAGTATCTATATTAAGTACCTCTTTAATTATATTTCTATAACTATTTGGCTCTACTCTAACATTATTTTGTTTTACATAATTTGCTTATAAAACTTCTTGCAGTTACATTTGCATCGTAGTATAGCTTTACTGTGGTCACATCAAAACTATTTAATTCCTTTGTCCACTGAACATTCATTAATGAGAAAACATGTTCAACATTTGCATTGCAAGCCAGTATACCGAAAATGTATTTGCATAAAGTTAAGAACTCTGAGAATTGGTTTTCAAATTTGATTTGTTGAAGCATAGAATACCATTTTTCATGGCATAAGTTGCTTTCACATTGTTCAAGATTATGTGCATCTTTTGCTCAACAACTTTTTGTGATTATTATCCACTGACAAAAAAGAGTGCTGTTTTCTAATTTTATTCTATTCTTTTTAACAGCATACATGATTATTTTTACTGTTTTAATGCTGAAGAGTATTTTATGACCTTAATGTATAATGATTGATTTCAAAAGATAGTCATGACATAATTATCCACTTCAATCAGAACTTCTTGTACTGTTCAGAAGTAAAGTATGGTTTGCTCATCTCATGGAAATTGTGGATGTGGTCTGTTCTGTGTGTCTCATGCCAATGTGGGCATGACTGAAGGACAAGTTGGTTAAGTTTGGGGTATTGTGTAAATACAGGGTGGTAGGGCTTACAGTTGTTTGTATGGAAAATAATATAATAATGAATAAAAATAATACAAGAATAAACTCTATTTCACATACTCACAACTGTAAACCCACTTTTGCCCAACCCTGTATTTGAAGAGAAGACATGAATGAGAAAAATTAAAATGACTGTGCATACTATTCTGGCTCTTTTAGAGTGACCAGTTTATGGGCTCTGAGACTCTAGGATTTAGAGGTCAAAATAAAGGATATCAGCAGATAATTTATTAAGAACAAAGCATCATTTTGACTTAAGTGTCACAGATTACTAATGCATCTTTCTATCAGATATAGTCAATTTTAATTTCCAGATCTTGACCATTTGACCTAGGTAGCAGTTTAACTTTGCTCTTCCCAGACAGTGTAAAGTCAGAAGAATTATTTGTTTTGTGAGTTACACTTCAATTAAATTGTATTAGCAACCTTGTCTTAATTACTTCCAAGGGACTTCATCCCAAAAGTACTAGAAAGTTTCTAAATTCTATTCAATCCACATTGTGAACTTTAAATTGCTTTTGGGATTTAGGAACAACCTCAAAGCAGCACAGACTTGAGGTTGCTCTGGTGCTCTGTTGGCTGGTTCTTTAAAGGAGCCTCATAGTGTAATGAATGTCAGGAGCCCACCTTTCATCATTACTGGAAGTCAGTGCTATTTTGTCACTGGTAAATTATTATTATTTTTTAGCAATACAATGGCAGATACTTGATGTTAATGAAAACTGAGAAGCAGATAGTTCCTTTAGTTATCTTACTGAACTTATTGAGATGAAATATATGAGATTTACAGTCTCATAAAATAATAGGACTTCTGTTTCTGGCATTTTAATGTAGAAATGCTCTCTATTCCAGTGAAGTGGGATATAAATAATTATAACATATTGCTAATGCTTAATGATATTTTGAGTGACTTAAACCTTTTTATTATGGGTAGTCTGAACATGCAGTGAGAGGAAGATCAGAAGAGCAGTTGTTAGAATGGAGGGAGCTGATTTCTGTGCAAGGAGAAGATAAAATGTATTTTCTCATACTTGGAAGTAAAAGAGTAAATCCCCTGTCACTTAAATTCTTAGATTATACATTTATTTATGGTTTGGCTCTAGACTGAGACATGTATGCTAGAGTTATTCTGAGAACAACTTGCCATTCATTATGTGTGTCAGGTAGGAGAGTTACCTAGATGGTCCAATTTGTACTGGAAAAGACAAAGAATAACAATTTTTTTTAAAAAAATATATTTTATTGATTTTTTACAGAGAGGAAGGGAGAGAGATAGAAAGTTAGAAACATCGATCAGCTGCCTCCTGCACACTCCCCACTGGGAATGTGCCCACAACCAAGGTACATGCCCTTGACCGGAATCGAACCTGGGACCCTTCAGTCCACAGGCCAACGCTCTATCCACTGAACCAAACTGGTTATGGCAAGAATAACAATTTTATCTAAAAATGTTTTCTTTTACAAACACCACTAATACCAGTAATTAATGTTCTTAAGAGACTGCAGGTATACATTTCCTCCAAGTTAGAAATAACCAAAAGTTCTTTTTCTAAAAATATATCTTTTTGGTTTGTTCTCCTAATCACAAAACTCTTCTAAACTGAGGTTGTTACCATTGAAAAAGGATTTATATATACTATTTTGTTTTAGTAGCTAAAGAATAGTGATTTTTGTTAAGGCTAATGTAGTCATTGTGGAGGAAATATATCTATATCTCCAATAATACTTTATATGTTTTAGATTTGTCTGGTCAAAATGTTATAGTAAAACTGCATTCAAAATAATTTCAAATTCATAATGTAAGTGAGATACATAATTTAACCCAGTTGTGTGTCTTCTGAATCTTCTTTAACAAGGATTATTTTTTTGAGCTAAAGCCTCTTTTATGAAGTATACAAGTCTAACTGATCTAGCTTAGAAGATAGTAACATTCTTATCCTATCCACCAATCCAATTTTAGGTCCATATTACCCATAAGGAAGCCACTTAAGGATGCAGA